GCCCCTCCCATGTTCCCCTGGCCCCTCCCATGTTCCCCTGGCCCCTCCCATGTTCCCCTGGCCCCTCCCATGTTCCCCTGGCCCCTCCCATGTTCCCCTGGCCCCTCCCATGTTCCCCTGGCCCCTCCCATGTTCCCCTGGCCCCTCCCATGTTCCCCTGGCCCCTCCCATGTTCCCCTGGCCCCTCCCATGTTTCCCTGGCCCCTCCCATGTTCCCCTGGCCCCTCCCATGTTCCCCGGGCCCCTCCCAAGTTCCCCGGGCCCCTCCCATGTTCCCCTGGCCCCTCCCAGGTTCCCCTGGCCCCTCCCATGTTCCCCTGGCCCCTCCCATGTTCCCCTGGCCCCTCCCATGTTCCCTGATCCCATGTTTGGCCCCTCTTATGTTCCCCTGCCCCCCCATGTTCCCCTGGCCCCTCCCATGTTCCCCCATGAAGCAAGACCATCACTCTACCGTCTAGCCCAAGTGGTTGGGTAGAGGGGGGGGGGCTGATAAAGCAATCTTTACAGCACAGTATGAACAAATAATTATAGTTTAGGCTGCCAGAAGACTTCGTTGACTAGACTGACGTGATAACTTCCTCCAGAGTCGCCATTTATCCTGTGGTTTCCAGACGAGGAACACGCTATAGTCCCAAGGAACATCTTATCAAAATATGGGTCACTATTGCCATCAGATTTAATCTCATTTATATTAGGGGTCTTTCAACCTTCTTTTTTCTCTCTTTTTCCTACTCTATTTCTACTCCTATGCGCGAGGTACAGTAACAAGGGCACTTCTTACTCCTGTTAGCAGGCTGAGGGCTTGATGTAGGGCTCGCCTGTAGATCATGGTCAGGCTTTAACTACTTGCTTTTCCTCTGATACGCCCAGGGGCCAGATTCACGAAGCAGTTACGCAAGTACTTACGAACGTGTACATCCTTCTTCAATCTTTGACGGCGTTGGTTACGTTTATTAAACAGTTTACAAGCATGGAAACTTCCCAATTAACTGTTGTTATTGTTATAAACAGCCTCCTGGTGCTTCGGAGCTCATTAACTGTTTAATAATTGAAAACAAAGCCGCCAAAGATTGAGAAAAGATGGACAGATTCGTAAGTGCTGGTATTCACCTAGTTGTGTTTGCCCCAGGTTAGCTTACACTTTCTCAATCCCTTTGACTTGTCGAACAAAGTTCGACAAGTGTCCTCTTGATGTCCTCTTCGGTGGCGGTGATTGCACTTGATATCACTGCTAATTCATTTATTCATTCATTCATTCATTCATTCATTCTCTCCCCCCCCTCCTGACAGCTAGTAGTTCTTCACACCTCCACTACGCCTCCCTCCACTTCCACTGCTCCAAAGCCAATAATCGCCGTTTCTTCTTCCAGCTGTCAATCGCTCTCTTTTTCACTTCTTTACAAGTCCCACTTCCCTCCCACCTTTCCCTTCTCCTCCTCCACCCCCCTTCGGTCCCCCCACACCCCTTCCTCTCAACACATTCCCTAACCTTCACACAGCTTCCTGTCCTCCTCTATCTTTCCTGTTCCATTTCCCCCGTCACTCCCTTCCTCCCTCCCCTCTCACTTGTTTCTTTCTCTTCTTCTTACCCGCTATGTCACCCTCTCCGTCCCCCCATTTCTCCCCTTCACTGTACCTTTCCCCTCTCCTCCTCCTCGTGCCCCGACGCCCCGTCTCCACAACACGAAGGAAAATATTGTAGAGGAAATAATGAGTCTTCAGCCGCGATGTCTCAAGATTTTGTCCCCTGCTGCTTATTAGTCGGGAACCGCCAGGTGCAAGCGCACGGACGTTTATACCTACCAATACGCACAGGGGCCTGATGGCTGAGTGAACAGCGCTCGGCATTCGTAATTCTAGGGTCCGGGGATCGATCCCTGGCGATGGCGAAAACAAATGGGCAGAATTTCTTTCACCCTGATGCCCCTATTCACCTAACATTAAATAGGTGAACCCGTCCTCCTAAGGCTTCCCAACGTCAAAAAACACTCGTACTAAAGTGCCCTTATCCTAACCTACCAGAGGACCCAAAACAGAAACCGGGACAGTATGTCAATTTCGCGAGCTGCTTCCATTTTCTAGTAAGACAATTTTTGGGGACCTTTGGGTAGAGTATACGTCAAAATGCGACGCTCTGTTAGGAGGACAGGTTGCATATTTTGTTTAATGACAACATTTAATGACAACATTTAATGGCAACATTTTTATTATATTTTACGTGAAAAACTATTGGGTTATATCCTCATAGGAGGAGGTTTATCTGGGTCTTCAACATCTTAAGTCGATGTACATCGGCTTACGGCAGGATTCGCCATTAGCTCTCAAGTGGCCACTTGTAAACCCGCTCATCTTTCCCCAATCTCGCCAACCTAGTTTACCTTCAGTAAACAGTTTACGATCTCTACAGTACTACGACATCGTCAACAACAATACGACCCTAAAGAGCTAACTACCTCGTAGCGGGACCGACCTCGTAAGCGGCTTAATAAATATAGCCTAAGCCGCCATAATTCAGTAAGGATGTAAAGGTTTCGTACCTCTCTTGGGTTCCAAAGGAATCCTGGCCCAGGAGTTCTGGGATATCATGAGCCACGTGGCACGTTATCATTCACGTGGTCGGGGTTAGTCTTTAGGATGATGGTGCTATAGTGGCGAGAGAACTCAAAGCCAGCAAGACTATATAGCATTTGGAATGGATACAAGGATAAGGAGCTGGGATATGAGGATAAGGTGTTGGGATATGAGGATAAGGCGCTGGGATATGAGGACAAGGGACTGGGATATGAGGACAAGGTGTTGGGGTATGAGGAAAAGGAGCTGGGATATGATGACAAGGAGCTGGGATACGAGGATAAGGTGTTGGGATATGAGGTCAAGGAGCTGGGATATGAGGACAAGGAGTTGGGATATGAGGACAAGGTGGTGGGATATGAGGAAAAGGTGCTGGGATATGAGGACAAGGTGTTGGGATATGAGGATAAGGGGCTGGGATATGAGGACAAGGAGCTGGGATATGAGGACATGGTCCTGCGATATGAGGACAATGAGCTGGGATACGAGGACAAGAAGCCGGGATACGAAGACAAGGTGCTGGGATATGAGGACAATGAGCCGGGATACGAAGACAAGGTGCTGGGATATGAGGACAATGAGCCGGGATACGAAGACAAGGTGCTGGGATATGAGGACAATGAGCCGGGATACGAAGACAAGGTGCTGGGATATGACAACGGTGAGAAAGAATGATATGTCCAACCCCTTGGACCATATGGGGATCGAACAACGACCTGCAAGAAGCAAGGCGCCGCCGCAGTACCGACCACCCCTAAGGGAATGACATATTCATGTTCTAAATAGTAACTTACCACAATAGCCTACATGGAACAGCAGCAAGAACTCCAAGTAATTAGTAACTTGAAGTTCCAAAATGAACTTGAATATCACTTCGGGGGATCTAAGTTCGCCGCCTGAGCCCCTTTGTCCTGAGCACAGCGGGTCGGTGCTCAATCCCCGACGGTCCAAGTGGTTGGGCACCGTTCCTTTCCTCCGTCCGACCCCTAAAGGATTGTCCTCATTTCCCTTCCAGGGGCTATATGGTCGAAACGGCTTAGCGCTTTCTTCTGATAATTCGCTCACCAGGTCAAGCTCAATTGTTCCCGTTGTGGCCAACAGGATATTCCCGTTGACGACAACAGGATATTCCCGTTGACGACAACAGGATATTCCCGTTGACGGCAACAGGATATTCCCGTTGACGGCAACAGGATATTCCCGTTGTGGCCAACAGGATATTCCCGTTGTGGCCAACAGGATATTCCCGTTGTGAACAACAGGATATTCCCATTGTGGGCAACGGAAAAATAGTAAAACAGAACTTGCGTTTCCTTCAATACATTTTAATAGACCTGTTTAGGAGAAAGATTTTAAGTCTATGTCAACAAGACACGGCAGATGTATAATGCAAACCTCGATGAAGAAAAGGAGACACAAGGGAGACCTGTTCACAACCTACATGATCCTTAGTGGCATTCATAAGTCATTTGTAAGGGATGGAACCAAGACGAGGGGTCACAAAGAGTGGGACCAAGTCTCATTCAGAAAAAAAATTTCTTGTATTTCGAACCAAAACTAACTTAACAACCTTCCCCTAACACAATCAAACATTAAACATTTCTATAATGACTGACCAATGTTAATACGTATTTTAATATAATACGTATTTAATCATTCGTACTTATACGAATTATCGCAAATTTACCTGGAAAGGAACGAAACAAAATATATATTTGCAAAGCGGACTGAATCACATTTTAAAATATACGAACAAACTCTATTGATTTACGACTGTTCGAATCCCGATATATTAAAGAGCTCAGTGCTGAGCTCTACTATAATAAATGGGTTGAGCAAGAGCTTACTGTGAAATATTTCATTACTAGAGGATCGTCCGCCTTTGTGTTTGGTTTTCGTTCATTGAGGAGCCAGACCTGTCTTTTTTGCTTTTTCTGAATTGGAACCAATTCCAGCAATTTTTTTTTATTTTGGATTACGGTGCACACTGCATAATGGTGGTGTGTTTATGCCAGATTTATTTATATATTATGTTAGGTAAAGTTTCCACTTCATGTGACCATATTTTGGGTAAATATTATTTTGATTATGTTGTGGAAAGTTTGAGTATTTTCCAGGGCCAGATTCACGAAGCAGTTACGCAAGCACTTAAGAACCTGTACATTTTGTCTCAATCTTTGGCGGCTTTATTTACAATTATTTAACAGTTAATGAGCTCCGAAGCACCAGGAGGCTAGTTATACCTATAACAACAGTTGATTGGGAAGTTTTCATGCTTGTAAACTTTGGCTCATGATATCCCAGAACTCCTGGGCCAGGATTCCTTTGGAACCCAAGAGAGGTACGAAACCTTTACATCCTTACTGAATTATGGCGGCTTAGGCTGTATTTATTAAGCCGCTTACGAGGTCGGTAACGCTACGAGGTAGTTAGCTCTTTAGGGTCGTATTGTTGTTGACGATGTCGTAGTACTGTAGAGATCGTAAACTGTTTACTGAAGGTAAACTAGGTTGGCGAGATTGGGGAAAGATGAGCGGGTTTACAAGTGGCCACTTGAGAGCTAATGGCGAATCCTGCCGTAAGCCGATGTACATCGACTTAAGATGTTGAAGACCCAGATAAACCTCCTCCTATGAGGATATAACCCAATAGTTTTTCAAGTAAAATATAATAAAAATGTTGCCATTAAATGTTGCCATTAAATGTTGTCATTAAACAAAATATGCAACCTGTCCTCCTAACAGAGCGTCGCATTTTGACGTATACTCTACCCAAAGGTCCAAAAAAATTGTCTTACTAGAAAATGGAAGCAGCTCGCGAAATTGACATACTGTCCCGGTTTCTGTTTTGGGTCCTCTGGTAGGTTAGGATAAGGGCACTGTAGTACGAGTGTTTTTTGACGTTGGGAAGCCTTAGGAGGACGGGTTCACCTATTTACTGCTAGGTGAATAGGCGCATCAGGGTGAAAGAAACTCTGCCCATTTCTTAACGCCATCGCCGGGGATCGATCCTCGGACCCTACGATTACGAATACCGAGCGCTGTTCACTCAGCCATCAGGCCCCCTGTGCGTATTCGTACGTATAGACGTCCGTGCGCTTGCACCTGGCGGTTCCCGACTAATAAGCAGCAGGGGACAAAATCTTGAGACATCGCGGCTGAAGACTCATTATTTCCTCTACAATATTTTCCTTCGTGTTGTGGAGACGGGGCGTCGGGGCACGAGGAGGAAGAGAGGGGAAAGGTACAGTGAAGGGGAGAAATGGGGGACGGAGAGGGTGACATAGCGGGTAAGAAGAAGAGAAAGAAGCAAGTGAGAGGGGAGGGAGGAAGGGAGTGACGGGGGAAATGGAACAGGAAAGAGAGAGGACAGGAAGCTGTGTGAAGGTTAGGGAATGTGTTGAGAGGAAGGGGTGTGGGGGGACCGAAGGGGGGGTGGAGGAGGAGAAGGGAAAGGTGGGAGGGAAGTGGGACTTGTAGAGCAGTGAAAAAGAGAGTGATTGACAGCTGGAAGAAGAAACGGCGATTATTGGCTTTGGAGCAGTGGAAGTGGAGGGAGGCGTAGTGGAGGTGTGAAGAACTACTAGCTGTCAGGAAGGGGGGGGGAGAATGAATGAATGAATAAATGAATTAGCAGTGATATCAAGTGCAATCACCGCCACCGAAGAGGACATCAAGAGGACACTTGTCGAACAAAGAGGGATTGAGTAGTGTAATAACCTGGGGCCAGATTCACCAAGCAGTTACACAAGCACTTACGAATCTGTCCATCTTTTCTCAATCTTTGGCGGCTTTGTTTTCAATTATTAAACAGTTAATGAGCTCCGAAGCACCAGGAGGCTGTTTATAACAATAACAACAGTTAATTGGGAAGTTTCCGTGCTTGTAAACTGTTTAATAAGATTGAAGAAAGATGTACACGTTCGTAAGTACTTGCGTAACTGCTTCGTGAATCTGGCCCCTGGGTGTATAAGAGGAAAAACAAGTAGTTAAAGACTGACCATGATCTACAGGCTAGCCCTACATCAAGCCCTCAGCCTGCTAACAGGAGTAAGAAGTGCCCTTGTTACTGTACCTCGCGCATAGGAGCAAAAACAGAGTAGGAAAAAGAGAGAAAAGAGAAGGTTGAAAGACCCCTAATATAAATGAGATTAAATCTGATGGCAATAGTGACCCATATTTTGATAAGATGTTCCTTGGGACTATAGAGTGTTCCTCGTCTGGAAACCACAGGATAAATTTATTTATTTATTTATTTATTTATTTATATATATACAAGAAGGTACATTGGGTTTGTGAGAATACATTGGATAGTACAGTATTGACATTCTTGTAAAGCCACTAGTACGCACAGCGTTTCGGGCAGGTCCTTAATCTAGCAGATAATTTTAAGTAGGTAATTTCAATCAGAATTGATAAATGATAAGGATACCTTACAAGAGAAAAATGAGATGAGAGAGAGATAAGTAGGTATATTAAAGCACATTGTTATATTAAAGCTCTGATTGATTACATTGACAGCTTGATTAGTAATTTAAACAAGGTTAGTAGACACCATACAGCAGATTGACAGCACATATAAGACAGCAATGATCACAATGGTAAAGATGTTCAGATTGGGTACATAAAGATTGGGAGACTGGGTAGCAAAAGATACAGATAAACAAGATTTATAAACACCATACAACAGATTGGCAGCACATATAAGAAAACAGCAATGATCACAATGGTAAAGATGTTCAAATTGGGAACAATGGAAATGAAAATTGGGATTAGTAAATGGCAAATCTGGAGGGAGTTATCACGTCAGTCTAGTCAACGAAGTCTTCTGGCAGCCTTATCTATAATTATTTGTTCATACTGTGCTGTAAAGATTGTTTTATCAGCCCCCCCCCTCCCCTTTACCCAACCACTTGGGCTAGACGGTAGAGCGACGGTCTTGCTTCATGCAGGTCGGCGTTCAATCCCGACCGTCCAAGTGGATGGGCACCATTCCTTTCCCCCGTCCCATCCCATAAACTGACCCCTTCCTAGTGCTATATAGTCGTAATGGCTTGGTGCTTTCTCCTGATAATATCCCTACCCTCACCTCCCCCCCCCCTCCCTCTGCCTCACCCCCCCCCCTCCCTCTGCCTCACCCCCCCCCCTCTCGCCCTCTGCCTATATATTTATTACATTATATTTATTAATATAATTATTTCAATGGGACATATACACCCTGGTTTATCCATTTGAATAGTATGTAGGTGGGTATTTATTCATGTAATTATAATATTCGATGTGTTTTAATATAATTGGGTGTTTAATACTATTTTGAACTTGCTGGAATATTATGAATTCCTTGCTGATTGGTATGCATTAATATGAGTTAACAGTACAAATAATTAAGATTACTTGGGGGTGAATGAGCTGTTGGGTTACTGACATCTTGTTCCTAATACGTTGACCAGACCACACACTAGAAGGTGAAGGGACGACGACGTTTCGGTCCGTCCTGGACCATTCTCAAGTCGATTCCTAATACAATGTATTGTTCCTAATACATTTTAAAGATTCATATGACATAAATTACATCTGATTAATGGGGCAATGGTGGCAAACACAGGCTATGGTCTATGGGTTGAGTATATGTAGAGATGTATGCATGTGTTTGTGACTGTTGGTTTAGAAACAAGTTAGCTGATTTGTGTAGCAAGATCAGGAATTTTGAGGTCCAGAAATGATTAACCTATGAATATACTGGCTTGGATCCAGCTGTGTTGCCAGATGGATGAATTGCAGTACGACATTTGGGCAGCTATTTAGATTTGGATTTACCATTGCATAATGAATTATTACAGCTGTTGATGACTAGCATATGAACACGAGTATTAAAATGCGGAGTTGCTATAAGTATGATAACCACCTGTGGAATATAGTGTACAAGTTATCTATAGTGCTAAATAATCGTTGTTGTTGTTTAGGAATTACTTAGACTTGATATGGTAGAGAAGTTGGCCTCCCTCGCAAATTACCAAGCACTGGGATTACTATGACCAACATCTTAAATATTATACTCGTCCCCATTGTATTTTTGTTAAGACTAGAATGTAAACTTTTATTGCCAATAAAAATGTAAATTCTTAAACCTGTGATGAGGTTAGGATAGGTTGGAGATGGATAGTATAGCCATTTTTTTAATAACATTTAATATACTACATAAATAAGTAGTATGCTAAGGTCTTATTGCGCATCTTGTCATGTCACAATGTAAAAGTCAGGCTGCTGTAAGCCTGTCACACATCTATGTGTTAATGGGAGGCAATATTAAATCCTCACTGAACCCACTTTTGTGACATCATGCGCCGCTAAAACAACTGAGTTTAATGCTGTAGAATGCTTTTGTTTATTATAGGTTAGGATAGTTTCGTAGGGATGATGAATTGAATATCAAATAAAAAAAACATATGTGCAGTTATACAATGAGCTAAGATATGAGTGGATACAAGGCATCATGGCATAGCCTGTGATGACACTTAACGAGAACAGTTGAGCTATTAGGAGATAAAGGGAATGTGCTAATAAGAGGCTGGTCCCTTACTGGAACCGCTTGTTACGTTATGGGAGGCTAAAAGCAACGCACCACATTAGTGGATCAGTCCGCATTGGGGATGATAGCGTTTCTATTGAAGTTTATTAGAGCACCATATTGAAGGTAACTGTAGAAGGCCTATTTTAAACATACGAAGCAGCTCTTATATATATGTACACTGAATGAGTATTTTGATTGTGCATAGATGGGTATATGCTTTAGTGGGGTGTGGGGGCATGTTTTTGTGCGATTATGAGACGTACACGGGACTAGCAGTGAAAAAAAGAATAAATAAAAATTAATAAGTGATGGTGTACCTGTTTTGAAAAATTATATAATAACATATATTTGCATGCACTTGGAGACTTCAACAGAGATTCAGTAGTATTCCCATGTCTGGGTCTGTTTCATACGAGTGGGAGATGTGGATTTTTGTTTTATTTTCCCTATGTTCGATAAACAATCCTTGAAGAAAGATCGACAAAGCTTAAATTACATTCTGTAGAAAGGCGAAGAATTATGGGGTGACACGACAGAGGTGCGCAAGTGGATGAGTGTTCATAACAAACGGGATATTAATATGCTATTAATAGTATTACCACGAGACAGAACACGAAACAATGGGTATAAATTGGATAAGTTAAGATTTAGTAAAAAAAAACCTGGGTAAATATTGGTTCGGTAACAGTGATGCACTCATTTCTTATCTTCATTATGCAATCTTAAGTAGTAAATAATGGAAATACGTCATTAGGGAATCAGACTTAATGTGGGAAGATGAATGCACCTGTGGAGGTCGCCGTGGTAACGAAAAACACCCCAAAAGGAAGACTACATTTTAATCCCCTTGAGCAAAATTTAAAGAGAAATAGAAGAACAATCACTCACTGGGGTAATGCAAAACAGGTATGCCAAGTTGGGGCCTTTTTATCCCATTGAGCGAAATTGTCGTGGACTATAAGGCAAGCACTCACTCGTCGGGGCAACGAAAAATGACTATGGCTACAGTGTAGCTCTGAAAACGGTCCCGGACGGTAGCAAAATCTCGCCTGGGTAACGA